GGGGGGGGGGGAAGAAAAAAGCGGAAGTATTTCATGCCAGTGTTTCTCAGTTTATGTGGAAACTTGGACTGAACATTTTGTATTCTGGCTGGCTTGGCTTCCCTGTTGTCAGCACTCTAACTTCAGCTAATGCCAACTCAGAACACACACCTTTCAAGCTGTGAAACGATGTGCAGGTGGCTGATTTCACAATTAACGTGGTGTTTTTGTTTTTTTCTCTGTCCATCCCACCCCAGTGACCCTTTCTGCTGCCACTCCTGCTTACTTCCGAGGGTTCACACTGATCGCCCTCAAGGAAGGAAAAGAAGGGGACAAAGAGGAGGACCATGCAGGATCCTTCCAGGTGAGAGACCTTTCCCCCACCCTTGGGAGTCTTTGCAGTTTGCCTGGCTCAAAGGGAGGGTTTATACACACAGCACAATGCAGACCATGCTTAAATAAGCACAAATGTTGACATGAGGACAGCATGGCATCTTTTATATTCTCTGCATGTCCAAGGGGTCAAGGCTCCTGTACCTGCACTTCAGCTTGCCTTCACACATTCCTGGAGTTAAAAATGACCATCAGTTATTTGAGCTAGAGCCTAGGGGCACACCTGAACCTTTTATCCAAAGAGAATATCAAAATTCTTCTATTCGTAGTTTGCTTTTTGTGTTTCTTTGCCTTGATATTTTTGTCCACTGAGATGTAGAGTATGACTCTAAGAAGTGTTCACCATGGCTGTAATGACTATTTTATCATTCAGAAATTAGACTCTGCAGTTTTATTTATGCTCAGTAGTACTTTACTTAATGAACACATTCAGTGGGATGAAATGTTTGTTATTAAAAGGATTAGAATCCAGAAGGATGAGTCATAAACTGATATTTTCAGCTACTCTATGCAGGGAATTCTGGAAACTGAGAATATATATCATATTTATGAAAGAAGGTAGAAATGATGTATGTAGTTTTGATTCTCACATGAGGTATTGTTTGATGTTTGACTTTCTAGGCTTGGAAATATTGTTGAATTGTATTGATTGTAATTTACAAGATGTGTAATACTATTGATAGTCATTTTAATGATTTCTAGGTGGAAGATTTAACTTGCCTCAGGTTTCAAGGGAAATACTCAGGTTCCAATTTTGTGATCTGCAAGGAGACAGAAATTAATATATCTTCCTGTGTTTCTTCTATACTTTTATATATAGCAAATATGATGTGCAAACTCAATAAGTAATTGTCCAGTTTTCCTACTGAGTTTGCTTAGGGGCCTCTATAAGAAAATCTAGACTAAGTAAGAACTTCTTTGAGATTGGAATAACTCCATCTTCTTAAAATGAAACAAATTCCTATTTGGGAGAAATCTTTTTCATATGGACTTTTAATAAAGTTGGTTTTTAAAGAATAAGTTAGTATTGAAGGATCAGCTACTGCTAAGAAGTAGAAATTGTGATGCTTCATCTATTTTAAAAGAAACATGTCACCATTAATTTGTTCATTTAGTTGTTAATATCTCTGTGGCTGTGGCTAATGGGAAAATTTTGGCCTGAGTTTTGTCTTTCTGTCTACTTCAGAGTGAGAAACTCCCTAAGCTTTGCTGAAGTACAGAGGCATTTTGAAGTTTGCAGAGTGGGAAGCAAGTGGAAATTCTATATAGATGGAAACAAAGAAAGCCCAATGGATCTCGGCTGAGGGAAGATTGTTTAATTAAGTGTATTGTATGGGTTGCAATCTGAACTCAGCGTTCTTATTGGCAGGTGGGAGTCTCAAAGGTTACCCATAACTGAATTTGTGTATCTGTGGTTTAAACAGTGCTCACCATGCTCATCCCACGTTAGCACAATTCCCTGAAGTTTATTCAGGTGGTGTCTGCCTGTTCTGCCTCTGTGGATGCAGATGCAAGGTTCTCATTTCAGTATTCAAAGAATGCTTGCAGTGGTAAATACAGACATCCCGTGTACCATGGCTGGGTGGGAGCAACCAGGAGAAAAAAAGATGTTTGTTTCAGGTGTTTGCACTGTGTTTTTATTAGAAAGTGAAGATGCCAAGGGTGGCTAAACAGCTGTGCAGAGTAAGAAAAAGCTGTGTACAGCAATGTGACTGCCACTGTTCTGTCTCCCCTGTGCACACAGTGCAACGGATCTCAGGAAAATTCCTCAGTAGTGGCACGAGACTGAATGCAGCTTTTGGTTACACCTCTGCCCCTGAGAGGACACATAACCCCTGCTCAGAGAGCAGTCAGGACAGAGCACGCCTGGAGCAAGGGCTTCATTCACATCAGAAAACTTCCCAGGATAACCAGCACAGAATGAAATGGGAGCTGGCCAAATACGACTTTCCTTCCATGGCTTGGAGACTGTAAAACACTTGATTTGCAAACTGTGGGGTGTGAGTTCCAGCAGGTTTTGTGGAGCAAACCTGACTGCACTCACCCTGTGCTCAGGGCCACGCCCTGGGGTTAGGCTGAGCAGCCTCAAAGCTCAGTGAAGGAGCAGCCAGGTGCTGAGGAAAGGCTAACACGGAGATTTTGGTGTGGCTGTGGTGCACTCGGGAGGGGAGAGCACTGTTTGCAGGGCTCTCAGCCCGGCTGGAGCAGGGGGAGTGCTGCAGCACATCTGGAGGAGCAGCTGCTGTGAGCTCCTCATGGCTCAGCTGGCCCTGTGTGCCTGTGGGTCACCAGGCACAGTCAGTCTCCATTAATCATCCAGCTGCAGGGCTGCGAGCCTGTGAATAGCACAGCTGCTGAAGTTCTTGCTTGGACAGGTATTTTTTTCTGTGCACTTTCTGGTTATCTATCCCTGTACTTAGAGAAGCGTGGGGTGACTCCACCATTCTAAATCTGTTTTCCACTGAGACTTTAAAATCTGATTTTACTGTTTGTTTACTTAATGAAGCCAAACTTCCTTGGGTTTTTTTTGTCCTTGTAGTACACACAGGACACAATCCAGCCTTAAAATTACTTTGTCTCCCCAAAACATGTGTTAAATAGCTAAATTAAATATGGCTAGGGAATCCAAGATGCCAAATTCAGCCATAGAAATGTGGGGATAGGGCTCTTCCTTATGCCAGTGGTAATTGTACAGCTCAGGGAGGCCCTCTGAAAGCTGTGGGTATCTGTCCCTCTGGCCTCTTTACACAAACCATTCCCAGCTCTTGCCATGCAGACTGCTGATCCTTCTCTTTTGTAATGTTTAGCAACAGTCTGCAAATCGTTTGGAAGGCAAATTAAACCCCAGGGCAGCAATCACCACTGACTGACTACAGAAGAGTGTCTGTATGGGCCATTTTAATCAACATATGTATGCAATGTAATAGATTCAGGCTGATAAATAATGTAGAATATTAGAAATGTAGCGCTGAACCTCATCTCATCTATATTCTTTGTTCTCTGAAGAATGACAAATATTCCAAGAAAAATTTTGGTGGATGTTTTGTCAATCTGTTCTGACGTGTTCAACAAGAAGAACAAATTCATCTCTCCAAGTTTAAACACTTCAATATGTTATATTTAATAGAAAATTTAAGGAGAACTTCGTAGATCTTTTACTTACATGCAATCTGAGTCTTCACTAATAGTAGTTAAATTGCTCTCTTATGAAATTGTCTTCCTAAATTAAGAATTTTCTTAATACCTCATGAGGAAGGTAGTCACACACTCTACCTGTTCCTTATTCAAATTTTCATATTTCATTGTAGGCCATCTTCTTCCAGCTTTGCTTTCTCTGCAGTCACGTTGGAATTCCAGTCTTATGTTCCTCAGCATTGTACACAGGAGTTGGTCTGGGCTCTCAGCATGAAATGATAGAATTTGGGTACAGGAATCCCTAGAGTGGCACAGTTTTGGAGTGCCTGGTGTTCAGGAAGAATCTTCTCAGTTTTTTTAATTAGAATCTTCTCTGTGGGGTTTTTTTTGTTGTTTTTTTTTGGTTTTTCTTTTTTTTTTTTTTTAATGTAGAGCTTCATCCGATTTATCAAGGAAGTTATGAACTGCAATTCTGTCCTTCAATTGCCATTCACTCCCCCAAAAGATGGTGCTATTTGTGAACACACCTGATAATTAAACACTCAATATAAAAAATGGTGTGCAAACATGATCTGTGTCTCTCGTGCACAGTGATAAACTGAATCACAAAGACTCAAAATTAGGCACTTCCTTGACATAATCACTTGTTGGATTTGTATTTATACCTGCATTTTTGGGACAGTTTAGTGTTAAATGCCTTCATCTTAGTAGTTCTCCTGGAGGTGTCCTTCTGCCTTTTTTTTTTTGCTTTAGAGTGAACCAGAAAATTTCTTAGTTTAGGCTGCTGAATTTAACGACCCACCTGTGCAAAAGCAATGTGAGAAAGTGAGCAAGCACAGCAGCAGCAGCAGGAATGAAGGTTTCATTAAAGGTGTGGCATTTCTAAAAGCTTGAGGCTGTGCTGAAGAAGAAAACATTGAAGGAAAATTGGAGTAGTCAGCTCAGTAAGGTAAGTAAGTGGTCCTTTAGCTTTAGTCCCTGAAACAATAGCCCAGATGTGTCTTTGGTTTTGGTCACCCCATCCTTCTGATGCTGTTTAGTTGACTGATGTGCTCAGCAAGACATTTAGATTAAAAGGTATTTTCACAACCTCAGAGAAAAGCAGCTCCTCTAATGTGGTGCTCCAGCGTTTTATAGGAATCCTACATCTCCTTGATACAGTGCATTTTGGAAGAAGCAGTCTTTAAAGGCTTTTAGCCATTTCAAATGATTTATTCTTGTATTTATAAGCAAAGGTTGTTTTATGGTTTTTAAAAGAATTAATGACTGCAAATCTTTTTAAAGCTTTTAATATTAAAAATTCAGGTATACTTTCGTCATCTTGATGTTTTTTTGGGCTTGTATGTTTGGGTTTTTTTTTAAGGTTGTATCCCAAGATAAACTCATCAGGCTACTTTGTAAATAGCTTATTCTGAGGTGTATGAATCAATGTCGTTTTCTTTAACAAGTGCCCAGAACTTCCAAGTATTTCACTCATGTTTGCATTCTCTCCTTTCCCTGTCCCAGAATCTCATCACTGAAACAGAGTCTGTCATCTCACTGCTTAAAAGCATGAGCAGGTAATGATCCAAAGCTATAATTACAGAGTATTTTAAATAGGAAAGAATCAAATATGCCAGGTATAGGACTCGTAGACTAAGCAGGTAGACATGAATTCTGATTCTGTAAAATTTAAATCTCTTGTTCTTTTGCATTTGCAAGAGTATTTCTGTATTTTCTTTCTATAAGAATCACTGCAAGTATTATTCTAGGCACACCCCCCTATAAGTTATAATGGAAAACCAAACTCTAGTTCACCTTTCCAGTAGGATGGAATTGTTCAACCTTGATGAACAT